TCCGGGGTTGAAAATAGGCGGGATCTTGGACCGCCCGCCCCATCCTGGAACCGGGGTGCTCCTCCTTCCCGAGCTCCCCGCGGAGTAGCTGCGCCCACCTGGGAAGCTGCTCCGCTCTCCCCTCTGCTGCTTCCATTTCGGACGCCTGTGGGTTAAGGAGGTGACTCCCACGGACAGCGTGTCCCCGCTCCCAGCTCCCCCAGGCTCTGCAGCTCCTTTTTTTCTTTTCTTCTTAAAAAATATTTTTATTGATTTTAGAGGGGAAGGGAGAGGGAGAGATAGAAACATCAGTGGTGAGAGAGAATCATCCATGGGCTGCTGCCTGCAAGCCCCACACTGGGGATCCAGCTTGTGCCCTGACAGGGAATGGAACCCTGACCTCCCCGTTCACAGGTTGATGCTCAGCCACTGAGCCACACGGGCTGGGCGGCTCAGCAGCTTCTTGACTCCCATTTCCTGGCAAAGTTAGGCCCGGGTCTGTAGGCGCCGAGTGGCCTCCCAGGTAGCAGTGCCTGGTCCAGGTGCAGCTGATACTGACCAGGGAGAGAGCAGAGCCCGAACCTGGTCGCTGGTCGAGGCTGGGCTAGAACATGGAACATTATCCCCCTGCCATTCCCACCCCACTTCGCCGTGGAGCGAGGACACAGGAGCACCCTACTAACCTCCCTGCTGCTGGGGCTTGTTCAGGTGCTATTTCCTGAGCCTGGGGCGGCTTGCTTTTTAAAAAATAATGTATTTCCATAGTAACAGCTCCTGCCTAAGGAGCATGTGTAGAGGGGGTGGCAACGAGCAGGGAGCTGGTGGTAGCACTGGCCTGTCAGTAGATTCAGCTAGAGGACCCTGCCCTCCAAGTGTCTAACATCCCATTAAGCACCCAGAATTGTGGTATAGGTACACCTTTCCTAGATTTGAGGGGGTGCATTCCATTCTATAGGACAGGAGCTTGTCATTGGCTTTCTGGGGGAAGGGGAAGGAAAATCCTACAAAAGGATTCAAAGAATCTCCTTCCCCAAGAGCCCCTTCTCCACACGCACAGCGCAAGGGCTTTGGCACCCAGTGCCTTCCTTAGAAGCTCCACAGCGAAAGTATTAAATCTCTCTCTTCCAAACCCAGTTGGTCATCTGAGTGCCTGGAAGCAAGCAATGCTTTAAAAATGAGTGTGTGTGTGAGTGTGAGTGTGTGTGTGAGTGTGTGTGTGTGTGTGTGAGTGTGTGTGTGTGTGAGTGTGTGTGTGTGTGGGTGAGTGTGAATGTGTGATTGTGTGTGTGTGATTGTGTGTGTCTGTGTGTGAGCATACATGCATGTATGTGTGAGTGTAGTTGTGTGCATGT